TTTTTTTTTTTTTTTGAGACAGAGTCTCAAGCTGTTGCCCTGGATAGAGTGCCATGGCATCATAGCTCACAGTAACCTCCAACTGTTGGGCTCAAGTGGCCCTCTTGCCTCAGTTTTTCTATTTTTAGTAGAGACCGGGGACTCACTTTTGTTTAGGCTGGTCTGGAACCCATGAGCTCAAATAATCCACCTGCCTCGGGCTCCCAGATTGCCAGGATTATGGGTGTGAGCCACTGCACTGCGCCCGGCCCAGGCACAGATTTTCTGACGATTAGCAAAAATGTATCTCTTGATTATTATATCTCCTATTCAAGTGAATTTATTGCTGCCACTGAAACCATGTATTTACCAAGAAACTATTTGCTAGTTATTTTTAATTGTTAAGTATAAGAAATAAGCAATACACTCTGCAAACTATTAGTTTAAAATATTTGGGGAGGGAACCTGCTAACTACCTTACTTTTGAAGTTTTGGTTTTACAGGTATAATGAAAAGAATCTACTCTTCTAGAGTATGCCTCATACTTCAGCTATACTTATAATTCAGAATAGTAAGTATTTTTATTTATAAATCCAATCTGACAGTGTCCAAGAGCTACGCTTAAAAAGCTGCTAAGCTATATGCTTAACCCACTTATTTGAAGTAAAAATGTTTCAGTGATCCCATAAAAAAAAATCCCTCATGGTTTGTTTATTTGTTTGTTTTTTGAGACAGTGTCTCATTCTGTCACCCTGGGTAGAGTACCACAGCAGCACAGCTCATAGCAAACTCAAACTCTTGGGCTCAAGCGATCTTGCCTCAGCCTCTAGAGTAGCTGGGACTATAGGTGCCCATCACAACACCCACCTAGTTTTCTATTTTAAGTAGAGACAGGGTCCTGCTCTTGCTAAGACTGTTCTTGAACTCCTGAACTCAGGGGATCCATCTGCCTCGGCCTCCCAGAGTGCTAGGATTACAGGCATGAGCCACTACATCTAGTCTCCTTGAAGTTCTTTAAATGAGTTCTGACTTATACTGCACACAGAATATTGATTACATAGAACAATAAATATTTAAGAAATATGCCATCTACAGTTTGCTGTAGTCAATAATACACTATAAAATTTTATCATACCATACCACTTACTCATAAGTGCAGACATTGAAATTACATCTTAACAAAAGTAATGTACCAATTTCAATTTTTTTTTTTTTTTTTGAGACAGTGCCTCAAGCTGTCCCCCTGGGTAGAGTGCCGTGGCATCACAGCTCACAGCAACCTCCAACTCCTGGGCTCAAGCGAGTCTCCT